ACCTCAGGGCTTGCGGAACAGCTGATTGGTGGCCAGCATCAAACACCTGTGGCTGGTGGGTGTTAAGCACTCCCTATTTTTTTCCATGGGTGCTTGGGCCCCAGAGCACCCTCTGAGTCAGTGCCTATGCTGTTAGCGTAGAATGCAGCCCCCAGATTAGGTACGGCAGGTTCCTGCCAGCCAGTCCCAATACAGGATAAGGAAATAAAACCTCTTTTCCAACTACCAGAAAACCCAAAGCAAAGAGGTGACGCCTCTGACTGTTTCGGGTCAGTCTGAGGCATTTACATTGCAGGCCATGAATCAGGAAGCTGTATGTCTCTTCAGATACCTGCTTAAAGCAACCTGACTGTAAACAACAAGCCATTGTCGATCTCCGACTCAGCCCAGGGAACCCGTCTGAGTGGTTTGCGAAGAATTGTACAGAGGTGAGGAGAAGTTCATAAAAATAAACGTTTCTGCTAAGACTCCACAGCTCCAAAATGCTTCACTAGTAAATATTTTGTATGATTGCCACATCTGGAGCAGTCAATCGATTAACAACACAGAAATTTTGTTTTTAAAAACTTTCTCTATACATGGACACCCCCATAGACCTCAAGTACACAGAGAGCAAACAGACCCAAATACAAACAGAGAACGTTACACACAGATGTGTCCTGTTTCCGAAGCTCAGGGAAGCCATTCCAAAGGCCACTCCCCACCCACTATATCTACATGTCCTGCCTCGGTCACCACAATTCTTTGGTAACCCACCAAACAGTTTCATATTCCAAATTTACTGAGTGTAAGTGATGCAGTGATACCTGCCTGAGTTTGCAGACAGCCTGAAACAATAGCACTAAGAGATGGGAAATTCTCCATTCCTCACACCTCAGTGGACTCATGATGCCATGGAATTCAGCGTGTCTGCCACAGAATTCACAGGTTGCCCAAAGTTTTATCTTCTGTGTCCCTGCCCTGATGCAGACAGGAGTGGGGAGAGCCACCCCCTCACCTAAACAGCCAACTCCCCAGTCAGAGAAGGAATCTTCCCTCCCTCTTTCAAACATGCAGTAGTCCAACCAACACTGAGCAAACCCAGCCTGGATGCTTCAGTTTTCACCACTATTACCAGCATCAGATCTATTCCTGAGCGAGCTGAGAGGGGAGCTAGCAAACGGCCCCCCACCAGCTCATCTAGCTGGAGCTCACACTCTAGACATGGCTCGCTCTGGCTTGAGGCCAGGCCATTGAACTGCAACTGCTCTAGGGGCACTGATGGACGATCTCCTTGTGTCACTGGACAGGTGGTTAGAAACTGACCAAGGAGCTATGAACTCCTGCTCACATGATGCTGTAAACGAGCGGCATTCCCACCCTGCTCCAGAGTCTGCAATGCTGTGTGGGGTCAAACTCACCCTGCTCTGGGACTTTGCTTTATTCATAGGATAACTCACAATAACACAACGGGAACTTCAGCCCCAGCTTTCCTCCCAGTCTGGCTTTTCCTAGGGCTCCTCCTGTGGTGCCAGCAGAGAATGGGCGCAGCAGGTCCTGGGGTAGCTGACAACGGGACATGCTCACTGAGTGAGAGTGCTCACAGAGGTCGAGGTCCCTGGCTGGCCCCTGGCTGCCCAGAGGGAAGTGCCTGTGCGCTCACAGAGCTGGGCACAGGAAGCACAGAGGGGTCCAGGTCTAACAGAGGCAGACGTCCCGACCAGTACGGCCCATGGAATTTCACTACGGGCCAGAGTTATGAAGGTACGACAGTGCCTACAGAGGCAGACAGATGCCTAGTGGGTTCTCAAAAGCATCTAAGCAAGTAATGCGCCCAAGGGATATCAATAGGAGTTAGGTACCTAAGGGCTATTGAGCCCAATGGGAGTTAGGTGCCTAAACAGAGTAAGCACTTTTGAAAATCCCATAAGTGCTTATCTGCATCTTTAGGTTCCTAAATACCTCTAAAAATTGGGCCTTACATCCATCCCTGCTTACCTAGAGAAGGAATTATACAAACCAAACCAAACCAAACACAACACTGGAAACCACACCCAGAAATCCTCCTCTGATATTCCACCCAGAGATCAGTCACAGGCCGACTTTCCCAACGCACGCCTCCTGCACAGGGATTCACGCCACTTTGCTGGTGCATTGGAAATGGCAGGTGTCCAGCCTCCTGTGGTTTGGACCAGAGGAGGGAGCTCCTGATCCTCAGCTCAACACTGGGACTTTCTGATTCTTCCTCTAGAACATGCCTGGCAAGAGCTGGAAGCTTTGGTTCCCTGGAATGCTGGACAGTCCCAGTGAATATGTGCTTGGATCCTATCCTGGGCTCACCGCGCTCACAGGGTGGTTCCCATCAAGGAGGCTGCCCAGGAGTACAGGGCAGGGAATAATTATCTCTGTGGCTGGGATCGGGGCTTGGTCCTACACTGCAGAGTTAGATCGATGTAAGGCAGTTTACATCCACCTAATTATGTCAGTGTAACACTACAGCCTTGCTCCCACTGATGTAAGTGCCCTACTACATGGATATAACTACTCCACCTCCACGAGAGGCGCAGGGCTTATGTGGGTGTAGTTAGGGCGATGCAGTGTGTGTGTAGACACTGTCTCACTTACATCAGCTGTTGGCTGTCATTCTTGGCAGTTTCATGGCTCCGCTGACTAAAAAGCCAGGCTGTTCCGGGGGCAGGTAGGGGGCTGCAGGTAGGAGGCTCCAGCTAGGGCCCAGCTGCCTTGAGGCTTCCCTGTCCTAGCCTGGCTGTGCCCTCCGTGCCTGGAGCTTGGATGCCCCACCCCGCTTCCAGCCTAGCTGCTGCCCAGGCTTCCTGCTCTGAGCTGGGCCCTGCTCCATGCTGCCAGCTGGACTGCTGCCTGGAGGCTCCCAGCTCCCTGTGGGGAGCCCTGGTGAGGTCACTAGCTCAGCACTGAGAAGAAAGCAGCAGTGTAAAAGTCTGAATCAGGGAGCAGGAAGGGGGCTCCTTGTAACTGCTGCTATGTTGTGATGCACCATAAAAAGTCATAAAGACACTTGGTGGAGGTTCACACAGAGGTCTGCCAGCCAGGGGTTGCAGGAACTGATGGGGGAGCCCATTCATAGTTAGAAATTTAAAAATGAACATTCCTGCAATCTCTTCCTGACACTTCATTCTGTCAATTGTGAGTGACAACACATTTTTATGTCGTCAGATACTAAAAACCATTTTGTATATTAACCTATTTGCCAACATATTTTCCCATGTGATAACACAATAAGATTGGATAAGAAACCACAGTAATTACACATAAGTCAGTGAGAAATAGGGAAAGGAATGCAGAGATTTCTGAAGGAAATTTAGGGAAAAATAGTCTATCTTTAGATTAAAATTTCCCTGTGTTAAAAACTAGGACAAACACATAGCTTCAGTAGCCCATGCCACCTAGACACCAGCAGACTGGATAAAAACACAAATGAATCCATCAAAAGATAATTTTAGGATATTTATTTTCAAATAAGGTAAGTTTAGGGCACACTGCCATGAGTGGCATATTGTGAATAAATCTTCAAAACTGCATTATGACATTGAAAATGTTCCTAATGCATCGGGTTTAAAACAAAAAGTAGTCCTAGCAGTGCCATGTGATGTGCCTCCTCTCAGACTCTGCTCAGCTAGCTCTTCAAGAAATTAGGTTCAATCGCTAATTTCAAGGAATTAGACCAATCGGTCACTATGTTTACAGAGCATTCCAGAAGGTGGTGGACAGAACCCAGAGGAATTGTGATGAATTTCCTGGAGCAACTTTCTTTTCTTTGTACTCTAAACCTCACATGACAACAAAAATATCACCCTTTCAACTGATTTATGGCCGAGAAGAAAGGTTTCCCAAGAAAGCTTCACCAAATTTCATGTTATGTGTCATTAAGGGCCAGCGTCTTTAATACAATTAAGTTAATTTGTGATGATTCAGTAAAGGAATACAGCTCCTTCTCTATTTCTTTACCAAAGTACATTTGTTGTGTCCTTATAACCAAGAACATGAAGAGCCCGGTCGTACATTGAAATTAACAGTGGACACTGACAGTACATTGCCTGGAAATAATATTTCTAAAGAAAAATAAACTAAGGATTGTAGAAGAGATTTCTATCTACAGGAAGAGAGCATTTGCGGTTGGGGACCGTGTTTTGTTAATTGATGTAAGAGAAAGAAAGGAAGGGTCATATCTTGATTACCAATTATATGTAGTTAGAAAGTTAAAAATCCCATGAATTAATGCTGACAGAAGTTCAAAGATTATTATATAATCTTGTGTGAGTTCACTTAAATATATTGCTTAATTAATTCTATCATTTTTAACCTATTAATTTTCAAAGATGTAGTGCAGGAGGTGGGTGCATGTGCCCTGCCTGCCACAGAGAACCAGTCAAGACAATAAAGAAAGGGGGAGAAGAGGGGAGAGAGAGAGCAGCTGCACATGTGTGTAGTTGTGATGTTTATGACACATGTACATTGTAACTGAACAACCGGGTCTGAGTTTATTTTGTTAAGATAAATATTTTGGATTTCTTGAAATTCCACAGTTGAAATACAAATGACGTTATTTAGAGAAGTTAAACTTCAATATAGATTTGAGGGAAGCATCAAAAATAAATGTAAATAATTCCAGTTCTAAAATTATGTTTAGATGCTTGTTTTTGAAATACTGTTGAAATGTAAATTAAAATATTATTGTATTTATACTTTGTTATAATAGTTTCTAAATTAGAATAAGCTTTTTTCTTTCATATTTTACACTGAGATTTCACAGGCGTAGAAAATTCTGACAGGAGTGAATGACCCCATCCACCACCATCTGCTACCCCTGGGGCAGGGGATGGGGAAAGGTCAGGGCTGGGGGTTCCCAGGTGTCTGGTTTTCGACACTGGCAGCGTCCGGTCAGCACAAAGTCCAGTTGTCGGCAGTAACTGGCCCCCACCACTGGGGGCAGGAAGAGCAGCAGCGCTGGGAAGGGACAGTCTGTGCTGCGGGGGTCACTATCAGGGACAGAGATTCCCTCTGGCCTGATCTGGGACTGGGCAGATTATCAGGGGAGATGCGTTTTTACCCCCAGCGTTGAAACTAGGACAGAAATAAGGGCGGAGCATCCCGGAGAAGGTGCGATTGAAAGTGAAGAGATGGGATCTGTCAGTCACATTGTAAAACGAGACCTCGCCCGCCTCATAGTCCAGGAAAATCCCCACCCGGCTGGGCCTGATGCTCACGGGGAGAGGAGTCGGTGGGGAGGTGAAGGCCTTGTATTCCCCATCGTACAGCCCCATGATCCAGAATCCATCCTGAGGTGTGGCTGTGACCTGCCCCTTCCTGCTCACAGATTCCCTACAAACCCCCAGGTCCCACTCAATCTTATCTCCCACCTCCACCTCCCAGTAACGCCTCCCACCCGCGAACCCCTCAGTGCCCAGAACTTCAGGGTACGTATCAAATCTCTCAGGGTTGTCAGGCAGATCCTGGCGTGTGTCTCCGCGTCTCACACTTTTCCGATCCTCAGACAGGACGAGGTAGGGATTTGCTGTGTCTGGATCCAGAGTCACGTCCACTGGGGAGAGAGTCACAGAGTCAGAGCCAGGGGCAGGGGCTGGTCACTGGGATGAAAGGGAAATTAATCTGCGTCCTGTTAATCACCATGGGGGGAGGGTTTGTTGCCTGAGGGGAGTCAGGGCCTCTCTGCCTGTCAGGAGACAATGGGGGGAAGGGGCAGGAGGAGCGGGGGGAGGGTGGGAAGGTGTCTGTGGGGGAGGGGACAGGCTGATGCTGGGAGAGGAAAGAGGAAGGGCAGGTGACAGGAATAGAGGGGGGAGGGGAGGCACAAGGGCAATGGGGGGCGAAGAGGATCGGGCACCAGGAGGACAGAGGGGGGTGAAGGGAGGGGCAGGATCCCAGGGGCTGTAAGGGGTGAGGGGAGGGGTGGGCACGAGGGCAGAAGAAGAGGACGGATCCCAGGGGGCACAGGGAAGCAAGGGAAGGGGCTGGCACCAGGGGGCAGAGGTATTTGAGGGAATGGGGGGGCTCCAATAGGGCAGGGGGGAATCAAAGTGAGGGGACTGGTGTCAGTGGTTGGTGGGGGTTGACGAGTGGGGCAGGTGCCAGGACTATGGGGGGAGGGAATGGGCAGGCACCAGGGGGACAGAGTGTTGCAGGAGCCTGGGGGCAGAGGAGCTGGCTAGGGCAGGGGCAGTCACCAGTGGGTGGAGGAGGAGCAGGTGCTAGGGGGTTGCGTGCGTGTGTGTGTGTGTGTGTGTGTGTGAGTGAGTGATAAGCAGACGAGCATGTGCCAGGGCAGAATGGGGTGATGGGAGGGGCGGGCACGGTGGGGGGGAAGGGGGAAGGGGAGGGGCATGCATCAGGGCCATAGAGTGAGAGTGAGGGGCAGGACTGGTGCCAAGGGAAAGAGAGAGAGGTGAGGGGAGGGATGGGCACCAGGAGTCCAAAGGGTGGGCTAGAGAAGGGGCGGCACTGAGGGATGGGGCGAAGAGAAGGGGCTTGCAACAGGGGCACAAGGGGTGAACAGAGGGGCAGGCGCTAGGGAGGCAGAGGGGGAGTAGAAGGAGGGGTTGGCACCAGGGGAAAAGGAGGGGGTGGGAGAAGGCGCAGGTGACAAGGGGACAAAGGGGTGAGGGGTAGGACAGGTACCAGAGGGACATGGGGGACAAGGGCTTGGGCAGACCCCAGGGGGCAAGAGTGGAGTGAGGGAAAGGGCAGTTATGAAGGGGGAGAGGGGCATGAGGGGTGGGTGCCAAGAAGACAGAGGTGGGGCGAGGGAAGGGGTAGTCACCAGGAGGGATGGGGGGGGATGAGCAGAGGAGTAAATGCAAGGAGGGGAGAGAGAAGTGGGGCGGGCACCAGGGGGCAGGGTGGGGGTGAGGGAGTAGGTGAGCACAAGGGGGCAGAGAGTAGGGTGTGGAGAAGGGCAGGCCCTAGGGGCAGAGGGGTGTGGAGATGTGGGCACCAAGGGGGAAGAGGGAGGGTGAGGGGAGGGGCGGGACCCAGAGGCAGGTAGAGGGGGCAAAGGAAGGGGCAGGCACCATGGAGGCAGATGGGGGCAATAGTAGAGATGGGCCTCAGGAGGGCAGAGGAGGAGTGACCAGAGGGGCTGGCACCAGGGGACTAGAGGGAGGTGAGGGGCGCAGGTTTCAGGGAGGCAGAGGACGAGGGGAGGGGAGGAGGAAGAACTAAGGGGAAGGTGGCAGTGGGGGGGGGGGGGGGAGGGGGGGGGGGGGGGCCAGGGGGCAAAGGGGTACAAAGGGAGGAGGGAAAACTGGGGAGCACAGGAGGGAGAGCAGATGGGCAGGGAGCAATGGGGCAGGGGGAGTGGCAGGTGCCAGGGGGACAGTGGTGTGGCATGGAATGGGGCAGGCACCAGGGACAACAAGAGGAAAGATGAGGGGCAGGTATTGGGGTAGAGGGGAGCAAGGGAAGAGGTGGGCACCAGAGAGGCAGGGGGAGGGGCAGGTGCCGGAGGACAGAAGGGGGAAAGGAAGGGGCAGACAAAAGGAGGGAAGGGGGTGGGGAGGAGTGTGTGCCAGGAGATGGGGAGTGAAAGGAGGGGTGGGCATGAGAAAGGCAGGGGGTGGAGCAAGTGACGGGGCATGAGGAGAGTGGAGTCAGAGGGGCAGGGGGAGTGAGGGAAGGGGTAGGCACCAGGAGGATGGAGGGGGAAGGGCAGATGCCATGGAGATTGAGGGGTTGAGTAGAATGGCCGACACAGGGAGGGCAGAAGAGCGGAGGGACAAGCACCAGGGGGCAGAGGGGGGTGATGGGAGGGATGGGCACCAGGGGGAAGAGAGGGGCGAGCAGAGAGGCAGGGCAGGGGGGTAGAGGAAGGTGTTAGGAGATGGGATCGAGGAGGGGCAGGTGCCAGGGGTCAGAGAGGGTGGGGAGAGGGACTGGTACCAGGCGGGGCTGAGGGGGGTGAGAAGGGCGGGAGCCAAGACAGCAGAGGAGGGTGAGGGGTGGGGGGCATGAAGGGACAGAGGGGGTGAGGGCAGTGGCAGGCACCAGGGGGGTAGGTGGGGGGGGAGGAGTGGGAGACATGGCAGCAGAGGGTGAAAGGGGAGAGGTTCATGCCAAGAGATAGCAGGGGGTGAAGTGATGGGTGGGCTCCAGGGTGCAGAGGATGTTTCGGGGAGAGGTGCAGGTGCTAGGAGAACAGGGGGAGAAAGGAGGGGTGAGTTCCAGGGTGGCAGAGGTGGGTGGAGGGCAGGGGGCACATGCCAGGGAGACAAAGTGGGGGGAGAGGGGCAGGGGCCCAGGGGAACAGCAGGAGTTTGGGGGGAGGGGGAGGGGACAGGATAGAGGAAGGGGTCAGGTCAGCACAGGGTTTGAGGGAAGGGTAAGGGAGAGGTAGGTGCCAGGGGAGGTGAAGGGGGGCAGGAGGGAAGGTGAAGGGGGCAGGCCCCAGGGAATCTCAGTTGCTTTGGGGCCGTGTGTGTCTGGTTTGTTGCTAAGAGCAGGTTGGTGCCATTTCCAAACACACTGGGTGGCAGCCCTGCCCCATGGGGTGCAGCTGGGACTCTCCATGCTAGGGCACAGGCAGGGTGTCCGGGCTCTCTGGAAGGGGGCAAGGTAGTGGGGGGATGGGAGTTGAGGGGTGCTGGGGGGAACAGGGGCCATTGCTTATGAGACTATGGCAGTGGGAAGGGGAGGGGGTATTTCCCCACTTGCTGCTCCCTCCATCTGGGATAAGCTGCACCAGGTGCCAATCCCAGTTCACACCCACACAGCGCGTCTGCACTAGGGGTTTGCACAGGGGCACTAACATGCCAGGGACACTGCTGTGCCAGGGGCTGTAACCCCTCCCCTCACTGGGGTTATGGATCAGTATTTACAGGGTCACTGGACATGGGAAGCTGGACTCTGGGGCTCCCAGGTAGGGACCCAACCCACTGTGCTGCAGAGTCATTCTCACTCCCACGCTCTGGCCCAGTGCCCATGGCAGTGTTTAGACTCAGGGGGACGACTTCAGTAGGAGAGACTGAGGAAGCCCCACATCAGACACACGGAGCCCAGCGGTTCCAGCCCTCATCTGAGGGGGGCGGACCCACATTCTAATTCCTGCCCCACATCACATGGGGGGATTGAATCTGGGGCTCCCAGCTGAGGGTCCAGCCACTGGGCTAAAGGCTAGAAGGGAAGCGGCGGCACCTGTTTCTGTTCATTGAAACTATTCAGCAAACTCAACATGGATTCAGGAATAGTTTCAGTCGATCCAAAATATAATTTTTCAGCAAATAAACTATTTACCCCCAAAATTACCCCCAGCTCTATTTCAAATGTGTCCCAGCAACTTAGGAGCCCAAATCCCAATGACTTGCAGTGACTGTCAACATCCCCAGAAACCCACAGGTACGGGCAGGCCAGGCTCAGGACATCAGCTATGAAACACTTCAGAGCTGCTGTTAAATTTGCCCTTGGTAGAAAAATCCCCCCTCGGACTCCCATAGCTCTTTTTCTGAAGGCTGCGGGGAAAAAGATATGGCCAGTAGTAATGAGTGATATTAACAAGGAGCTAGTCTGAATGAAAGACTTGGAAGAGACCTTGGAAGAGACTAGCTGCAGATTTATGTGAATTCAGGGGACATCTTTACCATGTAGTCGTGGACTATTTTTCCAGGTATAAAGAAATAGTGTACTTGAAAGATGTAACACACCAGAGTGTTCAAGTATCAGGGGGTAGCTGTGTTAGTCTGTATCTACAAAAACAACAAGGAATCTGGTGGCACCTTAAAGACTAACAGATTTATTTGGGCATAAGCTTTTGTGGGTAAAAACCTCACTTCTTCAGATGCATAGAGTGAAAGTTACAGATGCAGGCATTATATACTGAGGGTATGTCTACACTACAAAATTAGGTCGGATTTATAGAAGCCGGTTTTATAGAAACCGGTTGTATGCAGCCGATTGTAGTGTAGACCAGGCCTGTGACATGGAGAGCAGGGAGTTACTTCGCAAGTGGAGAACCAGTGTTGACAGGGCCAATTCAATCAGGGTGGATGTAGTCCACTCACAATAATAGATGAGGAGGTGTCAATTCTAGGAGAGGAAAAGCTGCTTATGTAATGAGCCAGCCACTCCCAGTGAACTGACATGCACTTTTGGTCATTTCAGGGTTCCAGAAGAACTTGTGACAGAGCATGGACCACAATTCACTGATGTAGAATTAAATTTATCCAAACAAAATATGATCTTCCTCATATTACTAGCAGCCCATATTACTCACAAGCGAATGGAGAGGCTGAGAGAGCTGTACAGACAGCCAAGAACATCCTTCAGCAGGAAGATCCATTCTTTGCTCTACTGAGGTATAGATCAACACCAATAGCAGCTACTGGATATAGTGCAGCACAACTCCTGATGGGAAGACAACTCAGAACGACCCTCCCAACTTTAGAAAAAAATCTTTCTCCAAAGTTGCCAGACATGTAGAGAGTAACCAAATCGAATAAAAAGGCAAAAAGAGCTTATGAACACGTTTACAACAGACATCACTCAGAAAACTACCAGGCCTAGAACCTGGTGACCATGTTTGTGTCAAACTGG